AGATCCTGTGTACATTTTCAATCCTGCGCAGAAGGGCGTAAATTCTGGGTAAATTGTCACGGGTGAGAACTTGTGGTATTGGTGATTCGGTTTGCTCTGTCTTCTGAAGTCGTATGGAAAGATAAACCCTTGCCGTACGCTTCTTTCTATTTTTGAGTATTTACTGAATGCAGTTCCTATCCTCGTCCAGGCGACCTTGTCTCACTATTAGTTCTGGGTTATTCTAATATATTTCCCAAATAAATGAAGCTTACCTAACAGTTCAAATAGTTCTTTGTGTCATGCGTTATGAAACGCTTTTGCATTATCTATACAACATAGTTATACCTCCTTCTGCATTTTTATTCCTCTTTCTGAGCCTAAATATCGCATTACTTGTTTCATTCTCATTAAGAAAACCGTACAGTTCTATTTCCGGTCTAATCCTGTTACGCGCTCTATTTATCAGAATTCCGATGTTAAGTTTTGTAATGTGGTTCATTAGGCTGCTTTTTCAGATGGAACTCTCATCCACTTGCTGCTTACTTGGTAATGAAAATGTACTTAGAGTGTAGATACTAGTGGGGAACCTGCTGTCATCTCTGGTCAAATCAGGGCAGTTTATCTTTTAGTCTGTCGAATTTTATGTACAGTTGGAATTTTCTGTTTTGATTCCATCTGTTTGTAAAAACATTTTCACTCATTTGGATTTCTGCTTTTTGAAGTGTGCAGGCGATTACTGTCGATACAAGATTCTGATAAGCATCTTAGGATTTTGACCCGCATTTGGGTAACTTAACTTTGGGCGCAAGAATTAGTACTTAAGTTGTTAAACGGTTGCTTAAACTATTTTTAAGTTTGATTTTACATAAGCAGAAAAGAAACTTTCACTGAAACTAAAATAGAAGAATTGGTAAAATTCTTGAATACATTATAAAATCTGCAATGTTATTGGTTCTGACCTGGCATCTTGGTTTCAGTGCCTTTCTAACCTCCGTAACGTAGCCTCCCTTTGTTTTTTTTTTCTATAAATACTTTCATGTTAATTGTTCTGATAAACTTTACCCCATGATATCTAACGTTTATGAAATTAAGCGCAGAACTAGAGTGCCGGCTAATTTCATCATTTTGCAGTTATAATGGCTAGATGTAGCCGTAAGTTCTATGCTAACAGTTTCTTCTATCGCACTTCTCGCTTGTGGAAATCTCGTCAGGCTTCTTATTTCTCAGTCAACTTTGACGTTCAGTGTAAAATGTTATTTTTCTATCTTCGTAATTCTTTTGCTTTTATTGTTTTATCTCCTTAATAATATTTTTTTTTACTCATATTCTCTAAGTTATTAGTCACCTTGCGTCTTAGTGGCTTTACGGCCTTGCTTCGGATGAAATGGTAAAAAATAACGAATTTAGTAAGGTTTTTAATTATTTTACGTGAATCACTTTTTCTTTCTTTTCTTTTTTCGTCCTTTTTTAATTTTTCTTGTTTGAATAGCTTAAGCTACACTGACGTTCGTCGCGAACCTGCTTAAGGTTTCGTTTTATTTGGCTACAGTTACTTATAAACGAGTTCTTTAAAAAAAAAAAAGTCGTCCACAAACATGTATTCAGTGTTTCGTGTTTGCATAATATGTTCACACCTAATTGATATAAACATAAGGAAACTTAAGGAAAATTCAGTAATTATCTCCCCTTGAAAGTCCAATGCATCTAATGGGTGGTTCTTGAGTTGATTATCGCAACAGATTATTTACAGACAGATAATTGGCATGCTTATATTATATTCGATGTCAAATTTGTTTACCTAACGAGCGCTTATTGCATGTTTGTCTTCGCTTCTTTATTTCTTTCGTTTTTTTTGGGTTTTTTTGGGTTTTTTTTTTTATATTTAGTCATATATTTAAGTTGCTTGTATCTGTTTTTCTTTGATTTTATAAAATTGTTTAAGGTATTTATTTATTTGTTGCATTTATGACGATGACTTTTCTTGTTTAAATTGTTTTCCAAACATTTTGCATCGGTTACTTTTAATTTAGACTTTTTTTTCTTTCTCTTAGTTGCTCATTTCTTTCAAAAGTTCGTTATACTTTCGTTTCTTATATTTTCTTTTCTTCTCTTCATTCTTCATTTTTGTTTTTTCTTCTTTTATTATCTTTTCCTTTATTCTTCACTCGTTCACTTTGCAAATATTCATTCTTTTTTCCCGCATTTTTTTGTCATTTGAATCATTCGTTCGTGCTTTGCTGCAGTTCAATTTTTCTTTTAGATATTTTTCTTTTTCTCTTCCTACCTTATTCAATTCTTCATAAGCATAAAACATTTAAAATATTTTACTTCGGTTTTAACATCATCATTGCTTTCGTTTTTTTTTATCCTTTTTCTTTCTTTCTTTCTTTTTTTCTTTCTTTCTAATAATTTTGTTTTCAAAATAGGCTTCCTTTCGTCCTTATATTTTTTATTCTACAGGCTTCCCTTTCTTTCTTTCTTTCTTTCTTTCTTTCTTATCAACTTTCTATTTCTCTTT